GGCGTCCCAACGGACCGAAACTTTCAGGCTTTGAGGTACCGTACATCGTTCACGATCGACTAAGGTCAGAATCACGGGCGAATCGATGCATGTGCTCTCCTCGGCATCGGGATTTCTCATGAGAGTCATCTACTGGAGAAAACACGTCACGCAGTTTAAGAGGAAGCGGCAGGAGTGAAGAAGGTGCAGCAACTCCGTACGAACATACAACATACTACACCTCATCAACTACTGGCGTCTGTTTGAGCAGGCCACAGCGATTGCAACGTACCAGTACAGAAGCACATCGCTGCGTTGGGCTGAACAAAGATCTGTTTCGAAACCCGCCGAAATGTCACTATCCGTAGACAAAAGAATGGGCAAAATATTTGGTACACGGAACACTGGACTATGGTCCACAGAAATTGCTAAAGGGGGGACATGTATAGGAGCAGTCGTTTGCTTCTGGTTTACCGTTGGATTAATTTCGTTGCAGAATCCAAAGTTTCTGAAAGCGGGACCACAGCTGCTTAGTTGAAATCTCGACGACTGACTTACCACATAAACGTCTGAAAACCTCCGGTATTCACCATCCTCTTGAGCTGACAGAGCCTGACTAGGTTTTTCTCCAGGTCAGGTAACTTTTGCTTTAATATACACAAGGTGATGCACTTCTTTTGAACTAGATTTTGATCCTGTCGTCTAATTCGTTTCAACGCTATGGTTTGTTTTCTAACTGCCTTTATGAGTTTTAATTCAGCTGCCATAACGTATCTTGCGATTGATCGAAGGCCGACCGAAAACACCACGTGATATTTAATTACCTATTGCATGAGGGCCAGGGAGTGGTTCAACAGTCCGCATTGGTAGGCTGAGGCGCGGTGCTGCCCGCCACATGCCAATGACATCTTTCTGCGACCAAAACCTCATGAAGTACTCCACTTCTCAGAATCCGTTGTTGAGCGAAGGTTGGGGCGACGTTGGCAATAGCACCCGAGGTTTGGCACACCGAATGAACTGCCAAACAATTAATTGCCAAAAACGCCTAAACGCTCACAGGTAAACGGAAACCAGGAACATAGGAAGCACCCGTACGACTTGGGTAAACCACAGGACGTAATTAGTAAACGGACCCAGGACGTCAGTTGAATGTTCATGGCCAGCCAAGATGCAAGAACATTCTGGACAGAGCCATCTTTTGAAGTCTACCTCATCACGGAATCGTCGGAGAGTTCTTCTGTCACCCAGTAGAGGAAAACGGAGAAATGCAACGAATATCAGGTGCCGCCCTGTTTTGCTTTCGCCGATTACAAGAAAGCGTTCGAATCGGTAGAACTGACGTCTGTGCTAAGTGAATTGCACGAAAATGGCACAAAACCCTGTTTACTTCAACCTGATCGAGGAACCGTCCGCCGGTTGAACGGCAGACATCGAGCTGTTCAGCCAACCAGATCGCATCAGCATCTGTCGAAGAGTGCGTCGAAGAGATAGCATCTCACCAGCACTCTTCGCCGCGGCCCTGGAGTCACTCTTCAACCAGCCAAGCTGACAGAAGGGCATCAGTATCGATGGAGAGTAGGCAGTGCATTTTTTAATGTTGGTCGATGCGTCGCCTTCGCAAAAGACAAGAAAGGGCTCCAACGGAAGTCCCAGCA